ACATGTGATATAATAAGTTGAATAGTTCAAGTTTATCTATCAATAATCATTTTTTTATCAAAAAAAAAAAAAAACCTTTTATCTAGTGGGTGCGAATGGTACCCAAAACACATGCACATCCATCATTACTCAATACATATGATTTAAAAAACCCCCCCAAAACATATCTCAACAAAAGCCAAAAAAAAAAAAATTAAAAACTCATGATCTAGCCATATCTTTCGCACATTAGGCTGGAAATTGACATCACCCAGAACAATCGAAAGCTAATCTCTGGTTCCTACTTTTAATCCACTCATTTGATCTCACTTGAACTAAATCAAAAATTCTGTTGGCGTCCCACGTACCCTCTCAGAAAATTATCTCGTTCCTTGACAACCATAATGACCACCAACATCCCATCACGGCTGCCTTCCGCCCCCATTAATTAGAATCAGCACAGCCATATACAAACATCCAACAAAGATCAACTACATGTTCTGGAAACGCCATGTTCATGCTCCACCAACCACCCACTCTCATCAACAAAGCATTACTTTTTTCACATGTAATAGACAAATGACCAATGGTTTCATCATATTGACCAATAGCACACAACTTAAATGGATCCCTCTCTTCGCTAGATTATAGTGGGTTGTCTATTTAGAAACAAACGCCAAGCAAAAAATACTTACTTTGGAAGGGGATGAAGCTGTTCCACACAACTTTAATTGCATACAGATTTGTGCAGGCATCCATTGTTGATGGGCAGAAACACATGCATTTTTGCTGAATAAACTTGTTGGCCACCCACAGTCCAAACTCTTTCATCTTCAACTTTTTGATTTAAATTAATGTCATCTAGCCAAGCTTTGAGCGTCTGATCTTCATTGATTTTTCTTCCCATTGGTTGCCTTCTCCACGGGATTCTCCACATACACACCCTCATTGAGCCAATAGCCAAAGTCAACCACTACTGTTGCATTCCTGAAAAGGCACAAATTATAAAGTCTTGGAACCAAATCTTTTAATGACTAAACTACCCCGTTTCCCCTTCCAAAATTTGATTTTTCTCCCACTCCCTATGCATCAACAACTAAGATGTTAAGACATTGTTTTTAACACTTACTATTCATAACAGCTAAGTTTCAATTCCTGGTACGTTCAGCTGTGCTGTTCTTGCTGTTAAATTCTTGTAAGGATTTGAGCTCGTTATGTTCTAGCATTTGTTGATGTATATATATGGGTTATAATAGCTGTTGTACTCCAAATAACACAAATTTGATTCATCTAAATAAAAAACTGATTACTCATACAGGGGAGGCTAGAATAATGAGCCTCAATAAAAGCAAAACTCCCCTATCTATATCTAAAGAACATAAAACTTGCATGCGTTTTGGCATCCGTCTTCCCTATCTCTCCAAGAAAGCAACCATGTTTCTATCTCTCTCTAGCTATTAGGTTAGTTCTCTTGAAAATAAGTGAATTCTTAAGTGTTATTTCTATATTAAAATATGTTGGTTCTTTTTTGTAATTTTGTGAAGGTTTTGTTGTAAATAAGTTAAGGTTCTGATTAATGGCTTTTCCTATATAAAAAGTAAGGTTCAACTAGCAGCCCCAGTTGGCTGACAATGTACAGCAAAAATTTTGACTCTTATTAAGATTTAAGTCTCTTTAGGAATAGTTGTAGTATTTCTCCCTTTCTTAAAAAATTCTCCTTGTTCAAAAAGAACAAAAAAGTAAGGTTTTTTTGGCAAATTCATAAAGTTATTTAGGTTGTTTATTTACGCCTATTGTTTATATATATATACATATATATATTTTAACTTTTCTGCCTTTCATTTCTTTTGACCATCTTTAAAACATGACGAAAATAAGGAGCATAACAACTCTCCAACCTCACACTTTTCTTGGTTTCTAGACAAAATCAGTTTGGGCTGGAATACCCTGTGCTCCCATAGTCCCATTTCTTAACAAAAGCGCTCGTCCAAAAAATGAAAAAAAGTTCTCAATGGGCCTCCTGCTTTTGTAGCAATATTACAACAAATTCAACAGCACTTATCCACCCAATTGGGTCAATATATTTTGAGACCCACATTTAAAAATAAGAGGTAAAAGCCACGGGCAAGTAGGGTGAGTATTTTTAGGCATTGGTGAGATATGAGTCATATTTGATAATTGATTTTAAAATCTTTAGTATAGTTTTTTAGACTTAGTATTTAATAAAATATTTGAATATCTATACTTAATACTTAATCTAATAAATATTATAGGTAACTTGCGAGTATATATTTATATATTTGGTTTAGTAAGAGAAAAAATGTTAGTATAAGATGTTATTGTTACATTGTGTTATGTGTTTAACTTGGGATTTATTATTTATACAAGTTGTTATTATTACGTGTGTGATTTATTTAGTTTATATGCCTTACTTAACTTTTATTTCTTTTTTATATTATTTTATTTTTAAAAATTATTATTATTATATAGATATTAAATATAATAAATATATGTATCGACAACTTATTAATCAGAATAGAAGGAGTTTGATTCATTTTAAGTAAAATCTTGAGTTCAAGTTTTGTGAATTGATAAACAGACGTTAGGAGAACTTTTTCTTTTATGGAGTCTGACGCAACTTCATTCTGAATTAATTGAGATTCAATGTGACTATTGAATACCAGGAGATTAGTACCAAAAAAAAGGTAATGTAAAATCTTCATTATATAAGTAAAAGTCAATTAAATAAGTCGATTAAAAATATCAAGTAATTAGTTTTAAACCCGTATATTTATTACTTGATTTGATACTTATAAATATGTTATTTCCATACTCATTACTTATCTATTTTTTTCTACAATTTAAATATAATACTTATTTAAATAGATAAATTACTTACAAATAATAGATGTACCTATACATAATGCTCCCTACACGCAACTAGTATAAGTTACTATGGTCAACGTCGGGTATGGGTATACTTAAGATTTGTGGTTAATTGAGTAAATACTTTATTTGTACCCAAAAAAGACAATTAAATATTGGGTTTGAAAAATATATACATATCATGTATCGAATCAAGTATGAGGTAAAAGAGAGTCTATACCTATATACATGATCTCTCTCTCTCTCTATGTATATGTATGTATATACACACACCTAATCTCTCTCTCTCTCTCTTTATATAAAAAGAAAACAGTACATATCAACCTTATTTTTCATTAAAAATTAAAGTTCTAATTTAAGAAATGTCACATTTTAATTAATATTTTTAAAAATTGACTACTATATTTAATATTCTATTTATTTAAATCATGTATATATTTTTTTAAGTTGATGTAACATGTATAACCCACTACTGGAAAACGCAGTATATTCGACAGAATTTTCTGTCGAATATAAAGGATTTTCTGTCGAATATGATTTAATCGATAGACATATTCAACAAAAAAAGTTGTCGAAGAAACTGCAGTCGATAATGAATATATTCGATAGTAATTTTTTCTGTCGATAAAACCCGTTTAATCGACAGAATTTTACTGTTGAATATACTGATTATCGACAGAATTTGGAAGCCAGATTTATAATTTTGTCAAGTTATATTTGACAGCCGGTAGCTGTCGATTAAACTCGTTTCATCGACAGCACTACGCTGTCGATTAAACTCGTTTCATCGACAACACTACGCTGTCGAATATACTTGCCAGTAAAATAAAAAAAATTTTTGAAAAATCTGGAATTAAAAATCTTATATTATTTTCAATTAATTTTTTATTAATTTTATATAAAAAATCAATAAAACAAACACAATTATCAAATTACCTAGCAATATATTTATCAAACAATTTTAACAATAATATAAAATATAATAGATAATCATAAATAAAATTAATATTAGCATTAACTTTAATTATTTAAAAATGACTTACTGTTTCTATAAAAAAATAACAGAAAAAATTTATATCAAGTGATAAGAATTTTTAAAAGAAAAGAAGATAAAAAGCAAAATTATAAAATTTACCTCACATTACTTTATAAGAATCAATGTATAAAAATCTGAAAAAAAAAAAACTATTAGTATGTTAAATAATAAAAAATTCAACAAAAAAAGAGAGAATAGTGAAAAGAAAAAGATGATTAAAGGTAATTTATAAAAATATAAAGAGAAGAATGTAAAAGAAAATAAAAGAAGAAGAAACTTAAAAAAAGATGTTATCTGTGGAAAAAAGAGAAGGAGGAGGAGGAGGAGGAGGAGGAGAAGGGAAGAGGCAAAAAAATGAAAATGAGAAGAGAATGAAATGGTCTGCTGTTGGAGTAATATTTATATGTTAAACATATTCGACAGAAACATATTCGACAGCCTTTCTGTCGAATATGTTTAAATATCTAATTACCGGGAAAAATTCAATTTTTTTAGGGAGACCGAGAAATTCAATTTTTTTGGGGAGACCGGGAAATTCAATTTTTTTTGGGGAGACATGGGTTATATTCAACAGCCAATAAAGCTGTCGAATATACTGAGGTTTTTTTTTTTTTTTGGGAGAACTTTACATTTTTTCTAGCTGGGAAAATTCAATTTTTTGGCTGGGGGATGGCGGGGGTGGGTTATATTCGACAACCAATATGGCTGTCGAATATATTGAGGTTTTTTTTTTTTGAGGCCGGGAACTTGAAATTTTTTCTAACTGGGGAAATTTAATTTTTTGGCTGGGGGATGGCGGGGGTGGGTTATATTCGACAACCAATATGGCTGTTGAATATAGG